TTAGAGAAATCTAATTGTTGATGGCATGTAGCATTATCCAAAAAGAGGAGAACATGCCTTTTCTAAATTCTCATTTCTCTGTTTAAAGAACTGAGCCATTTTTCATTATAACTGAAGTCATTCATACTTTCTTATTTGCCCACTCTCTAATTGGTAGTTCATGAATATTTAATATTGTAATATGAATATTTAAGCAGTGGAATTTGAGATTCTTTCCTGTGACTAGTGGCTTTTCCATTGTTTCATCAGTAAAGGCACATAAGGGAATTGTTCTTTCTGTTGCTTTTCTCAGACACACTTATCATTTAATAAACTCAAAGTTTTGCTTGGAAGAATTTGAAAAAACATTTTATTTCATCATATTTTTTGCTCATAGTCTTTACTTAAGTCAGTTAATTTCTGCATCCAGTCTTTTACTTCCGTCAGGTCGACATCTTCAGCTTTCCCACAAACTTGCATGAAAGTTATTTCATGTCAAGCTTTGAAACTTTCAAGTCAACTATTAGACACCTGAATGACTCATTCTTCAAACATTGTGCAATAATTCTGGCTTTCTCTTGTAGAATAGGTCATGAAATTGGAATATGTAATCTTGCATTTAGAACAATTTGTAGACTATTCTGTTAACAGTTTCATTTTCAGTTTTTCTCTCTAATCTCCTTGACTTTTACCAAATAGCCATTCTTTGATTTTTTCTTTGTTTCTTAGAATTTGATAAACTTGTGTTTTGCCACAACTAAATTTTCTGCAGAGATCTTTAGCACTTAAATGTTGTTGTTCATTATTTATGATCTTGATTTTAGGCTTACAAGTTAGTGTGTTTATCTTTATTTCTGACATTCCTGCTATTCTGAATTATTATAATATAACAACTGGTACTGTAAAGCTCTACTACACGATGATGATTTTTTGTTTAAGCTAATGGTAAGACTAAAAATAGAACACACAAAGATGACATTATCACACACATGGTTTTCACATGTTGTTTATCCTTGCTTCCATCTGAAGCAGATTGTTTTACCTTTTGTGGACTTAAAATTGCTTTTCATGTTTATATTTAGCAGTTTCCAGCTTATACAGACAAAATTATGCTAACTTGTATATTATATAATACAGGACTAGAAAAAATTTATAATAAGCAATCTGGATTAAACATTCATAAATTTTGTCTTATTGAGAGTACAGTTTAAATAGTTTTTATTGTATATAACATTTATTTATTCCTATATGAGAAACAGATAATTTTTATAATTTTTATATATTAAAATTTAGAATGAAAGTTTGAAAAAGAATAAAATAATGTATGTGCATTTTTAGAATGAACTACAAAACCATAACTTAAAATTGGCATAGCTTGATGTAATTGGTTATTGCATCAGTGTATGAAATGCATTTAATGAATATTTATGTATATATACTTTCTTTATACTCATAAAGATTTCATTATTAGAAAATACAAAAACATTATAAATATTTTGATAAAAGTTTTAAATTTTACTTATTAAATATAGTTAGTCTAATGACTTTGAGATCTTACATTAAGTAGCTAACTGAATGGATGAATAGAGAATGTTTATGGAAACAAATACAAAAAGGTTTATTGGATCTTATTTTTATGAAACTTTTATATTATTATTTGAATAGTTAAAGTTTGTGACTTAATTATTTTAACTTAAAATGTTTTGAGAAATTAATTATGATTGGTAAAAGATAGTTATATAAAGCTTTAGCAATTTTGTTATTACCAAGGCTATACAGTCAGAGTTGGAAGCAAATTCATTGCTAAAGTCTGAGTCAGTAAAAATGACTGATTCTGATACATGTTTTTTTTTATAATTTATTATATTGTTTATAGTAAATATCTATAAATTTTCAAATAACTGGAGAGATAATCACAAAAACTCTTTCACAAAATCACATCTTTATAAATTCAGCAATGAATTTAATAAAAGAAGAACATTTTCGATCAGTTTCACTGATCTTCAGTTACAATGGAATGGAAAAATAAAAGAACTTACAGAAATACAAAATTTAAAAAAACACAAGTATAATTGTAAAAGAATAAGAGTTTGACTACAAGAACATTATTTTAAAATAATAAATAAAATAGCAGCAATTGCAGGTGAAATTAATAAAATAACCTAAAAAATTGAACAAAACAAATAAAAGGTAAAAAAATAAATGAATGAATAACCTTTACTAAAATTAAATTTCATAAAAAGACTGCTATGCAATAGACAAGTTACCTGTATCCCTATGGTTGATGCACCTAAATTTTTTATGAGCCATATAAATTTCCAATTTTTCTAGATATCCCATAGTGTGTATATTAGACATGGGTCTGATGATATATATATATATGTTTATAGTAAATTTCTAATTGAAGCATTACCTTCCATTATACATTCTGTAATGCCTGATCTTATTTTATGATTCCTTTACTTGATGATCTTTCTTTGCACAGCATTAATTACTGTTAATTTTCTTTTCAGAAATTTATATTCAAATACATTCTAGTTTAAATTTTTATTTTCAAATGACCTTTATAAAATGGTTAAGAAGACTTGGTTAAATTTAGTGTTTTTGAATTCTTTAATATAATTATCCCAGATGGAAAACATTGTGTATCAATATATGGTAAAGATGATGGTGTTAGTGGTAATAATGAAAAACTGAAAAAGGTAAGTACAGTACCTGCAGTTTAGATAGGAATGCCTGATTCACTTGATTCAATAAGTAGTGATGAAATGCCATTCTGGGTTAATATAATCAAAGTTGTGGGATCCAACATTGAGAAAGCTCGTTTCTCAATCTTGTTCGGCTTCAGATCAGGAAGATCTGTCCACAGGGTCACTAGGATGGGTTTTTAGTATTTAAATTTGGGAACAGGAATTTTTTTGATCTCCCTGTTGATTTTTCTCTTGATTGAAGTCTTTGAATTTGGAGAGGCAAAAGCAGCGAATTGTTTTGGCAGACATGGTTATGGAGGAGGATGATGAGTGAAGACGCTGGACTTGTAGTTGTGCAGACCAGATAAGTTTTCGAAAACTCCCCAGAATTGGAGGAAATTGCCCCTTTTAACATAAGTTTCATTCAATAGAAATCATAGATTTATGCCTGCTGACAGGATGTACAGCAGGGATAGATACACAGATGGTTGTCAAAGTTGGAGATAAGAACTTGGGAAAGGGAAGTTGATTTTCTCTTTTGGCACAAAAGTTATAGATGTGTTTTTCGTTAATGAAAACAACATGTAGAAGATTTATATATTTTCTCACACTAATTGAAGAGAAAAATTTTGTTACAATTTAAATTAGCATTACTATTAACACACTAAAAATAAAAAATTTTTAGTTAAAAAACAAGTAAAAATTATACTCTTTCTATTTCCGATTTCGAGGAATCGATTTCCGATTTCAGCATTACTATGTTCTCTCCATCAAAAGATGAAGAAAATGTCTTGGAATATGATCCAGATAAGGGCCATTTTTCTAGATTGATTTATTAAATTCTACATTTTAATATTTAAATATATAATATCCATTCCGATTCTCACATCATATTTTAAATTATTATTTAGAGGCAGGAATTGGAATCTAAAATTTTATGAGTTGGAATCAGGGGACTTAGTCTAACTACACCACAGCCCTAGTNTTATCCGACTTTTCAATTATCCGACCAACCCCAGTCCCCAATTGAGTCGGATAATCGAGGCTCTACTGTAATTTGTTTCAAATGATGATTTGTAAATAATAGAACTTATTTTAGAATAAAATTAAGAGAGTTTATGAGTGTCTTAAAATTAGTGATTGTCATATCAGAAGTGGAGGGTGGTTGGAGTAATTGCTCCTCCATTTACACTCCCCACCTTCCAATCATGACATGATCCTGTGCTATTAATAGCTATCTTCTCAGGTTGGTGTCTCTGAATAATATGAATAATAATGATTTTTAAAATTTATCACAAATTATATATGTAATATGAATTTTCACAATATAAATCACCATATTGAGCATTTTAAGTCATCTAGAAAAGAGCTAAATAAGATTTTAAAAATGTTTTCAAAGTAGTCAGATTAAAATGTGTTGTTTATTGTTTTAAAAATTTATTAATTTTAACATTATCTGACAGTTGGCTTTAACTCATCCATCTTATCGAGAGAATTTTGGGACCAATCCAGATCATGCACGAAATTCATTAACTAACTGTGGTATTCGTCAGCCTGAGTATGGTGATCGGCGGATTCATTATATGAATACACGCAAACGAGGTAATTATAGAATGAATTTACTATTTAAATATAATTTGTTGGATATAATTTGTTTTTCTAAAAATTTTAAATTTAATTAAGCATTTTAGTTTAAAATATATCATGCAATATAATATAGATTTCCATGTAAATGATGCATTTCTCTAGCTAACAATATTTACATGAAAATTATTAAAAATTGATAAGCAATATTTATAAGTTATTTATTAATTTTCAATTGAATTTATACTGATAACTGTTCTCTTTAAAGATCTTATTTCAAAATTGAGTTTTGTTATTGCATTACTATATTATCCTTACTATTGATAACTGTTATTATGTTGGTGTTAAATTGTATGATAAATTATTATGATATAGTTTAAATGTAAAATGTTCAAAAAAACAAAAAATTAAAAGCATGTTTTAAATGCGACAAAACACATATTTAGACATTTTTTTGTAGAGTAATTATAGATAAGGAAAATAAAAGCTCTAGATTTGCTGGAACTAGAGCTTTTATTCGGTTGATTAGTTTTTGCTAGCTTTGGCAGTGGTTACAAGAAAATTCACTGAATTATTTAAATTTACATTTAATTTCTGAAAAATTCAAACTTTTTAGTAATTTATTGAAAACTATAAAAATATTTCATTAGAAATATTTGGATTATATCATTATTTAGAAATTAGGTTTAATTTAAAGATAAAATATAATAATTAAAATAATTTACATTTTTAAATTTTATATTTTAGCAATTTAAAACGGGATGTTACTGTTGTTGTCAGTAGCAAAGGCTTTTTTAGGACAGGCATTATGTGTGACATAATTCAAGTAAGTGTGAATTTATAAACAATAATGTTTCAAACAAAAATGATCATGTAGATCTACTTTCATAATCATCAATTAATCAGTTTATCTTATGATAAAATTTTTGTTTGACATTATAAAACGTATACTAATAATAAAAAAGAGAGTGAAAATTTTTTCAAGGAAAAAATATGTAAAAGTAAATTTCTTTCTCTATAAAAGATTCTCTTAAAAAATAATGTATTTTCTTCCTGTTTTCTGGAATTATTTGTCTTGAATAATTTTCTGAGCCAATTTTTTTACAATTATAATTGTTTTGAAACCTTGTCTTTTAAAAGTCCCCATAAAAGTTCTCCCGGAAGGCATTCTTTCCCCTCGCGTAACATCGCGCCCCAGAGAAGGAAACGGGAAACCACTTTGGGTACTAACTTTCCCTAGTAACACCTTGGCATATTATTAACTACTTACTAATCTGCGCCTGGTGTCGCCGNAGGTTAATAGCGATATACTAATATACTAATTACATGGGATATAATAATATACTACACTAATAATGGATTTTTTCATACTTTTCGGTTATCCGACTTTTCAATTATCCGACCAACCCCAGTCCCCAATTGAGTCGGATAATCGAGGCTCTACTGTAATTTGTTTCAAATGATGATTTGTAAATAATAGAACTTATTTTAGAATAAAATTAAGAGAGTTTATGAGTGTCTTAAAATTAGTGATTGTCATATCAGAAGTGGAGGGTGGTTGGAGTAATTGCTCCTCCATTTACACTCCCCACCTTCCAATCATGACATGATCCTGTGCTATTAATAGCTATCTTCTCAGGTTGGTGTCTCTGAATAATATGAATAATAATGATTTTTAAAATTTATCACAAATTATATATGTAATATGAATTTTCACAATATAAATCACCATATTGAGCATTTTAAGTCATCTAGAAAAGAGCTAAATAAGATTTTAAAAATGTTTTCAAAGTAGTCAGATTAAAATGTGTTGTTTATTGTTTTAAAAATTTATTAATTTTAACATTATCTGACAGTTGGCTTTAACTCATCCATCTTATCGAGAGAATTTTGGGACCAATCCAGATCATGCACGAAATTCATTAACTAACTGTGGTATTCGTCAGCCTGAGTATGGTGATCGGCGGATTCATTATATGAATACACGCAAACGAGGTAATTATAGAATGAATTTACTATTTAAATATAATTTGTTGGATATAATTTGTTTTTCTAAAAATTTTAAATTTTATTAAGCATTTTAGTTTAAAATATTTAAGTAATTATAATAATTTTTTTTTCATAAAAATGAAGACAATATTTGCTGTTCACAAATTTATTTTACTTAATTTCATAATAATATAATTAGGCTAATAAAATAATTTTTAATGCTAATATTGAATTTCAGAAGTATTTCAATAATAGTAAATAATTAAATATAGAAATTTTTTCATATTATACATTAGGGAAAAATTTTTTAAAGAAGATTTCTAAGGAAATATAATTTTAAAAAAAATTATTAATTTTAATTAAAATTATTATTAATTTTTTTAAAAAAATATATTATTTTGAATATTGTAAAATAATATGAAATTATTAAGTTTTCTAATATTTTATAGGCATAAATACTTTAATAAATATTATGTCTCGATTTGGACGTAGAGAAGAAACAATGTCCAGTATTAATCACAATGAAAGATTAGAATTTCTTGGTGATGCTGTTGTAGAATTTCTTTCAAGTATTCACTTATTCTTCATGTTTCCTGATTTGGAAGAAGGTGGTCTTGCTACATATAGAGCTGCTTTAGTTCAGAATCAACATTTAGCTGTATTAGCTAAGGTTAGATTTGTTATTTTATTATCCTTTTAAATTTAAAGAATGCTAATGAATTTTTGAAAAATATTTTTATATAGAAACTTGAATTAGAAAGATTTATGTTATATGCCCATGGATCTGATTTATGTCATGATCTAGAACTAAGACATGCAATGGCTAATTGTTTTGAAGCTTTAATGGGTAAGTTTCTATTGAAAATGATAGTTATCAATACAGTCATCTACTTGTTAGTAAGATATTACTTTATTACAATGTANCTTGATCATTAATTAATTCTATAACTAGTCAGTAATAAGATATACTTTAATAATAATTAATATGTATTATATAGTAATATCTTCTAAGTTGATTACCGGTATTAATGAAACACTTAACAAACCTTTATTTCCGGTATTGTTTCAATTCAAGAACAAATGTTTTTGACCTCACCTTAGGTCTGCTTCAGGTTAAATTAAGATTATAAATGAGATTGCAAGCTAAGAATGCCTTTCTTTGGAACATTTTTAAATGTTGAGATTTTATAAATAAATTGGAACAAGGTTGTATGAGCATGCTAAGGAACATTGGCGATGTCTTGTTCTTTGCATATGTAGCACCAGGCTTATGATAGTGTATTGCTGTCTTTAGAGTTGATGCATCGCCCCGCTAGGCCAGCCTTGTTATATTTCAAGGGTCTCCAGGGTCCTGATGTGATCTGTGTGGAATGCTCTTTTTATCATCCTAGCATTGGACAGGTTCACATGAACTTCCGGGTCAGTGGCGTAGATGGATAGGATGGTGGTGTACCAGGCATGGTCTATGTCGTATCTGTGTTCGTGGACCCTCTGTTGAATGGAATGTTTAGTGGAGTCTATGTACACCATGTCTCACCCAAACTTGTCATCCTTCACTAGGATACTGTATACTCCTGGAGCCCTGAGATTGTCAGGCTTGTCTTTCGCATTGCATAATAATGCATATATAGTGGGGGACCTTCTGTATCTATTTGGTACCTGCTTTTGCTGCAATTGCTCTGTATAAGGCATGAAATTATTGGTTATTGGTACTCAACCATAGGTGCATGCTAACCCACATGTTAGTTGTTTTTTAGCCATGTTTCATTGTGATGTGCTCTAGATTTTGTAGTTCTTTTACTGTGTCCCTCCAATTGGAATGGTGTGTATAAGCTCTTCTGACTAAAGCACGAAATGCCACAACTTTATATGTTTATGGTTCTGCTGAGTTTGCTGGTATGAATAATGGAACATAGCTGGGTTTATAATATATACTGGTTTCTTTTATTCCTGTGTTGAGGAATAATAGAAATCAGTATATATAAACTCTGTCTGGTTAACTGGTCCAGCTTAAGGGTCAGTCTATATGCGTTGTCATTCATGCAACTTAAAAAATCATTGATGATTGACTTTGTTTTCCAAAGACAAATACATCATCCACATATCTCCTATATATAATTATATTGGACATATAATTGGGTATGACCCTTTTTTCTAATTTACATAATACTAACTTGTATAAGACAGTGGGCCGCCCGTGGGTATCCCATATTTTTTTAAATAGGTTCTGTTGTTAGATTGGAATATAGAGTTGTAACACATGAGATGTGCTAATTCTAAGACCTCTTTAATTAAAAATAAATTTAAAACTCACGCCAATATTTGTATAACTTATGGATACAAATTCACTGAGTTCAGCGTTAATAAAGTTCCTTTAGTATTAACACAAGCACTTTCGACGAGTGTATAATCATCGTCTTCAGGTGAAAAGAACAAATTTTTAACAAGCCAACGTGCAGGATGTTCCAAAGGAGCAGAATATTCAAAATTCAAACAGGCATCTGGAAACTCCATTAAGAAACTGCAAGTAATTTTTGATATATTTGAAACTTTATATTTTACGATGCTAGCGGCGCATGCGTGGAAATGCTATCGCGTTGGCGATACGATGTTAGGCGTGTTTCGTTTTTTAGGCGCCGATATAAGGCAATCCACACCCTGGGTAGATCAAGGGTGGGAACATTGCATGCTTCTGAAGTAGCCATGAGAAGCGCTTCCCAGATAAACACAAGCCTTCGATTGTTGCAGCATTTGATTATTTCCGTTCTGGGCCATAACAGGTTGTAGCCTTGCTCGAGAACTTTTTTAGCGAGCTCTGTAGAACATCTTCCTTTGGCTACGTCATCCTGATGCTCAGCAAGGCGGGAGGCGAGCATTCTTGTTGTTGCTCCTATGTATCTTGTAATATTTCCCGTTACCGGATTTTCTAGGTGTATCTTGTAAACCCCTGACTTTTCTAAAGTGGTTAGCCTGTCCCGGTCGTTGCAGATACATCTGCGCAGGCTTGGTAGGGGAGTTATGGGTAGTATGAAATTATGTCGTCGAAATATGCGGCTGATGCGTATAGAAATTGGTCCAAGATACGGCAATGATGATTGGATCACGGATGCTTTTTCCTTTCTGTACAGCGTGGTACATGGGTATAGGGCCTCT